CAAAGGCAGCAGTTAGGTCAAGTAAAATCAGAACAACATGGTTACCAGAATCACATGCAAGAAGGATGTCATTAAAAACTCTTATTAAAGCAGATTCTGTGCTATGAAGAGTTTTAAAACCTGACTGGAAAACCTCCAGAATGCCATTGTCATCTAAAAACTGTTTCAGCTGACGGTACACAAGTTTTTCTAAATCCTTAGAAAGAAAAGGCAGCTTCGAAATAGGCCGATAGTTAGCCAGAACAGTTTGATCAAGGCTGGTGAATTAAATGTGAATTAAAGAGAAATAACATGATTTTCTACAATATTTTGCAAAAAAAAAGTCTAAAAATTGTGGCGTGTTTGTATTTAAGCTGCCTGAATACTGTCTGGAGTTATTTGTTGCTGCAATTAGTCATTTTGGGTATATTGCTACCAGCTTTACACATGTAAAAACAGGATTTCTGCTTATTTAGATTTTACTTAGGAGTGTTTAGAGGAAGGGGGTGAGTACAACTGTAGGCCTGCCGCAATAAGCAGTAAATTAATCGAATGATAAAGTAAAACAAACTAAATAATTTCCATGTGCATGATTTATTGTTTTTNCTCTNTCCTCTCTTTCTTTCTCCCAAAAACTGGATGATAAAAGTCTTTAGTTTGGTGAATTTTGTTTACAGAGACTTTGTTGATCATTTTATTTGTTTTTTTTTTTCTAAAATATCTAAAATTTCTTCCAGTCTTAACTGTTCATTAGAAATGACAGATTATTGGTCTTTGAGAATGTGTTCTTGCATTACTATGCTGTTACCTTTGCATTACTTGACAATGGTCTCAAAACCAACAATGCTATCATTTATCATGATAACTCCTGGGACAATTTATCATTCAGCAAAATTTGTTACCGTGACAGGCCTATATACAGATGCATTGAAGAAAAAACAGAACAACTTGGAGAACCACACAGTACTTTCAAGTGTGTGGTTGTAATGTGAAAAAAACACTGAAAAGTTGAAGGTATATGAGCATAGTTGTAAAGCACTGTATTTCTTTTAACTGTGGATGCACAATTTATCAGTATCAGTTGATGTTAGTCATCTTTTAACATGGCAGTATTGGTCTGGAAAGTAAAACTGGGCCGATATTAATGTCCAAACAATGTTTATTTGTTTTCCATTTAAATTTTTACATGGGTGCATTTTTTCTATTCTTTCTCGAAACAATCAAGGTAGTGTAAAAGTCTGCTCGTTTCTAGAGGTGAGGGCCTGTCTTATTGTGTTGTGTACTGCGACGTAAACATCTTTTGTTTCCGTTTGAAGTCTAGCTGATACATATTCAGACGGCCTGGGAAACCTGGACTTTGAACGTTCTCAGCTCGGCTCTGGCATGAGTCAGCGAGGCGCTGCAAAGCGGCTGGTCAGCGCCCTCCACTCACACGCTCAGAGGACCAATCAGAAGCAGTTCGACCTGCAGACGATTCGATCTGTAGCTGACAAAATGAACATAAAGGTGAAAGTTCTTGACCCGAAAAAAGTTAAACACATAGACGTGCTCATCATTTATAATTATTATTGGGTGAGTAAAGTTAGTACATTCTCTACAATCCCAGTTCTAATGACAACTTTATGCTGTTGATTCCTTCCAGGTGATGGATTTTCAAGGTCTTTTGAGTTCCCTCAATGAACAGGGCTTCCTGCTAAAGAAAGGGCCCAAGTTGTACCAACTTCAGACCATGTGATTGCTGGACACTACTGCCCAACACAGACTTTACTTGGTGTTTGGTCGGTTATTTGTAAAAAGGCAAAAAACTAAAAACACAAGAAAACCTGTGTGGGGATAATATTCTCAGGCAACGAGTAGAGGGAATGCTGATGGTCAGAAGAAAATAAGGGAGTGAATCCAGCCAAAAACCCTCTAAAGTGCATCTTCCTGGATGCAGCATTTGTCAGGAATGCAAGTCTCCAGCAGTAGTAGCTATTCACATACGAGCTAAAGTGCATGAATATGCTAATTGTTTAATTTATTTAATCTCACTACAGTTGTTTTCAAAAATGAATTTTCTCTTTATGTAGATAACTGTGTAAAAATGTACAACTACTGTTTGTGCAAATTCTGTTGTAAATAAACTATTCTTCTGTGTCGAGCGTTTCATTAAATACGACAAAGACTTTATTTTAAAATGGGTTTTTAAATACTTTTTTTAAAACGGCGAATCTTAAACACTACGGAAGCCCATTTCCGCCATGAAATGAAAAATAAAAGACCAGCAGGAAGTCATAATTTCGACTTTCAAAGTTATAATTATGAGATTCAAAGTCATAAAGTCGAAATTATGACTTCCTGTTGGTCTTTTATTTTTTCTTTCATGGCGGAAATGGGCTTCCATAGAAATGGGCTTCCATAATATAATACAGTCTCAGATTGAGCAGAATAAAGGAACTTTTTTCTGAAACTATTTTGAAACCCACCTATGTTTTACGACATCTTGTGCCGTATGTATTTCCGGTAACATGGCAGCCTTGCTTCCCTCGCAGGGTTGCCATCAGGCTCAGTAACCTACGATGAGCATGCGGGGAAACGACACACGGGCAGCCGGTCAGTAATGCGAGCCTCTCGAAGATGATAACGACGTGTTTGAGCCGGCTTTCCGCTTCACTGTTTCTCAAGGTAGCGAGTGTTTCTGAGCGCTGCCCGGGTGTATGTCGGCTTGCGCCCCCAATATGGCGACTCGGACAGCCACCTGCCCCGGTGAGCGTGAGGCTCACACGGCCTCGACTTAGTGGCTCGTGGCTCTTCAAACTCAAATGGACGGACTGTGGGGGTTCGCGCTCGAGCCTCCAGAGAGTGAAAATGTTTGGACTCGCGGAGGGATCTGTGCTTGTGCACCGAAGAGGAGTTGGACGGTCAGCGGCCGTTTGGAGGCCGCTGTTTCTCCCCAGAGTTCGAGGACTTTGCAGCAGAAAGACCGAGGAGGCGTCTGACAAGTCCACAGCAGCGGACAGGGACACGGTACCGGGACAAGGACTGTTCAAATTCAAAGAACTGGTGAGTCCGAACAGGGGACAGAGGCAGCCACAGCTGTTAACCCTCCCACTGGTCAGAGGGCTGCAGCTTCCCACACGGACAGCTAGTACAGTTCAACCAAGGTCACTAAAAAGGATAGGTGGCATGATGATGCTATTATTACATTTCTTGTTTTTACTATATTAACAATTTAATCAGTTACCGTACTTGTAGAATAGCGGACGTAAGTTTAGGCGTATAAGTATATTTTCCCACAGCAGAAAGATGAAGCATTATAATTCAATTCAGTTTATTTATATGGCGCCAATTCACAACAAATGTCTCAAGTCACTTTGGAAAAACAAAATATTCAATCACATACATTCAAATTGATCCTATCAAGCACTACAGTATTATTCAGAGTAGTTTAAAAAAGTTTCCCGGCTAATTGTATGGAGTCATGTCAGGATATTTGAACTAATCTGCATATTGGCAATGGTATGCTTTTAGAGAAATAACACTTTTTATTGACCTTATCACAAGGTCTGGACTGTTCATGATTAAAAATGTGATCAGTGTTTGGCACACTTTCTTGTTATATTTAGCAACATTTCTGACCAAAAACAATCGGTATCGACAGGTCAGGCTTCGGTGATCAGTGCAATCCTACTGTCTATATGGAGTTTGCATGCGCTCCCCTTCTGTGCATGGGTTCTCTCCAGGTACTCTGGCTTCCTCCCACAGCACAAAAACAAATTATTTCTCAGATTGTGTGGCTTCGCGATAAAACAATCTGTTGACCTGGATTGTTTTGGAGAACTTGACCTTACTTGCAGCATATCTGTCGCCTTTCAGCCCAGATCATGTCTACTGTAAAAAAAAAAAGAAAAAAGTCTCCAGATAGGCTTGATTTATAAATCACCCTTGAAACGCACTGAGTGCAGACTCCTCTCTGGAAGAGAATCCTCAGAAGAAGTGCAGACCTGAAGCTGAATGTTCTGATCTCCTCATCATGACCTTTCAGAAAGAATTAAGGACAACAGAGCGGATTTCATCCATCCAATTCTTCAGACCCAAGGTGTTGGAGTGGAAGTCATTCTGGTTTAGTCTGCTGTTGTTCTAATCATCATTTTATTGATTATTTTAACATCTTCGTTTATCAATATTTGTTAAAGGCAGATTTTCTTTGACTGACTGCAGTGAGAGATTTTAATGTCACAAAAATCTGGAGTCTTATTGTGGAGCTTGATTCTTGTTTGACAGCCTGTCTCTGAATACTGTGATCTTAGGTTGTCTTAAGACAGCCTAAATTTCTGTTTGTTGCTCTTTTTGACAATATGTTTAAGTTGATAGATACTCTTCTGCTTAAAATTCTAGGTAAATCTAGAGTTCATATTTCTGCAAGAAGTGGGGTTAAAGGTCAGCAGCAACCAGCATTTCATATGGTTTACCAGAACGGTCTGAAGAAAAACTTTTGTGAGAAATTTTTACTTTTCTCTTTGTTGGCAGAACCGCAAATATTTTAAAGTTACAATTAGGATAAAAGTTTGCAGTAAAAGTTTAAAAATCCTGACCTGCTGATACCAATGTTTTAAATTTTTTTTGTCAGAGAAGTTGCTAAATTAAGCGGCTGACCTTTGTGGTGGTAAATCAGTTTCATAGGTAGACAAAGACTTCTCCTGTCAGTTCGGTTGTGTTGTGTTCTTGGTCTTGTATAAAGGCGGGACAAGCAGTGACCTCCCCATCACATGTATGTCAAATGTACAAAGGCTCAACTTTTTGCTCTGCGCTCCCACTGCTTTAACAGTCCACTAGACGTAAAGTTATTAGATTTTAGAGTTATGTTTGGTGTTGGTTGGTGACATTAACTTGCCCCTTTAAATATCATTTCCTCAAGTCAAAACAACCTCAATTAAAAAAAAACTTTTGTAACAGAAAATGATAAAGATATGTTCCCTCCACACCCCACGGATAAGTCAAGTCAGCATAGATACGCGGACAGACGAGATTTGCTCCAGGAAGAGCTTTGATGATTTTTTTTTTTTTCGTTAACTTCCAGCTGTATCCTGTTTGTAACCTCTTCCTCTCTGCAGTATGAGAACCCATGGACAATCCCCAACCTGCTGTGTATGTGTCGGATTCTGCTGG